GTGGTTACTGATTGTATCTGTCAACTGTCTTCAAATATTGGTACCAGTGTGACCTTATTTTCATTGGTGAGTTTGGTGTTGCTTGATACGAGGCATCTTGCAAGGAACGATGAATCAACGGAGGATATTACACTGCTCGAATGTGCCTTGTGGAAGTGGATAAAGTTGAAAATTATTGAAAAGCAAGCTACTGTACTACTATTGATCGCAAAAAAACCCAAGAAAAACAACAGTAGTAGCAGCAACAACACCACCACCACCACAACAACAACAACACCCAACAACAACACCAAAACAAAACCCACAACAAAAATAATAATATTTAATGATAATGAAACATACACACATACACAAATACAATACTTTAATATGTTATTAAGCGATATTAACAGCAGTAAAAAATACAATAATGTAAACATACAACAATAATCACAATAATACTTAGGCCTATATACCAACAAGATTACCTCTGATACCGCGGTACTACCAGTCTCACTGTCTTCTAAGCGAGGAACAAACTCAATGTCACAATTGCTGATCAGCTCAGTGTTACATTTTCGAAGACACCTAGCAATATCGTCGGGGTCTAGATCGTCGAGTTGAAACCCCTCGTTATAAAAAGGTAAGTAATCTTCAGGTACCGTCTGCTCCACATTACCGGAGTCACTCGACACTTCATCGATGTCTTGATGTTTACAATTTTCACTTTCATCCTATAAATGATAAATTTGTGTTTAGGTGTTTGAGGAACAAAGGCAAATTGAACCAAAAGTATCAGAAAACGAATGGAAAATTTAGAATAACACTATAGTTATGTTTTATATATATATACATATATATATGCGAACAATTAATAACAAGTAATAATAATGAAAATTAACAGACGTGTAAGTGTTTGGAACAACTTTGGTGCGAAAATTTTGAATCTGATGCTTTACCTTAACGTCAGTGGATGTTGTTTTAGCTAATTTTAAATATGTATATCCAACCCGTGCTTCGATTATACTGTCTAGTTCCTTAAGAAGTTCTGTAAACGAAGGCCTTTTAGTTGGACATTCGGTCCAGCAATGTGTCATTAACTCATATCTGTAATAGTTAAAGGAATATAGTTTCGAATTAAGCAGCATGTTCTTATACATTTCCTATAGCATCTCGTAGTGAAGTCATGTGGCGATGCATTGCAGCTGTCATGAGCCCCAAAAGGCAAAGCCTATTTTATTGTTTCATTAAGGAACAATAGTATAAGAAAGTATAATACATACTCCAAGTATTGAAATACACGCCATCGTGTTGGGATTCAATATTTCGACATTAATTATGTCATATGACATAATTAATGTCGAAATATTGAATCCCAACACGATGGCGTGTATTTCAATACTTGGAGTATGTATTATACTTTCGTATCTGAGATTAATCAGTGGACCTTTCGAACAATATTATATTATTTAAACATATTGGGTTATTTTCATTCTCGGGTATTTAAAGTTAAAACGATTATCCTTACGCTGGGTATGGGCAATGCTCTGGTCGCTGCATTCTGTAGCCAGACTGAAGCAGAGACGGCAGCGTCTGTACCACGATGCCAGGATAAGGTGATTTCCCATATGTAAATATCTCGTATAGAAGAATACCAAAAGACCACCTGATTTAAAAAGAAAATTAAACACATTAGGTGGTTTATAATTACATGATATTGGTTTATAAAACCAACTAAAGAGAAAAAAGTTTTCAAATTAAAATAGATTCGAACATAAACCTTAAGGATAAGAAAGATACAAATAAATAAATAAAACAGTTATCAGTAGCTTACACGTCACTTTTCACTGTCATTAAGTTTTCAGTGATTGTTTCCAAGCTGTACCATTTTACCGGCATTTCTCCGTCACTTAACCGCACGTAGCTCTTCTCGTACGTGTCCTGACTGAGACCAAAGTCTGATATCTTGACTAAGTTGTCCACTCCGACGAGAATATTCCTCGCTGCTAAGTCTCCGTGAACAACCTTTTGACTGGAAATGTATTCCTTAAACGATAGAAAAATTCTTAACAAGTGGATTATTGCTCTTTCAAAACATCCAACAATTTTCATCGAATCGAATGTTCAAATGTGCCATATATAAATAATTGGCAACTTACCATTCCACATGCTACTTGTCTACCGAAACTGTAAAGATTGTCCTCACATAAGTTATATACCTCATGTTTGTACAATCCACTATTTGTCGACTGTTGATTTAAGCAAAAAATGATATTTTTTTTTAAATTGAAGGATTGTCTGAGGAAAAAATATTGTTCTAATTCTGATTCAAACTTTTATCGAGAGCAATATTTTTACTCAACTTCATAAATATTTCTTTAGTGGAGAACTAAATTGTTACCGTGGCCTATTGTGTATTTATGAATTATTTTTACTACAAGATTCATACTCGGTGTTCCTGCTTGATATGCAAAGACTTAACAAGCTAGACAACTTGGCTATAGCTTGTTTAATTAAAATTAGTTTGGAAGAAAATTTTTAAAATCTGGTAGAGTGACTGCAGAGCAATACTACCCCAATAAATCAAGCGAAACAGCAAATAAATATGATACAACAAAACCTTCATTTTCAACTAATCAATCAACTAAACTAATAAATAATAAGCTAAAAATAAATCATTCTCATACCTGTTCGCATTTTCTAAGAACATCAAGCAAGCTGCCATTTGGCATTAACTCCATCACCATCAGGATCGGATCCATTGTGGTGTGACATCCAAGGAGTTCAACAATGTGTCGATGCTTACCAATCTGAATCATCAATTCGATCTCTTTCTTAAAGGCTACCCGTTCTGCCGCGTTTGATGTTTCTTGAAAAGAAATCGATCAGAATTATGGAATGGTAAACAAGGATTAGAAAAAAGAGAAAGAGAAGAGCAGTGGTAGCGCCAGCGAAAGGGTGGGGGAAGGGGCCTTTGTCTGGACCCAAGTATTAATTGTAACCAGTAATTTCAATTTTATATTTAATTTGAATGCTTATAAGTTAATGTATATTATTATCCTGATTATCTTCTATCAATATAGTCACCACCACTATCATCAGAACCGCCCATTATGCGTAGGACCAGCACATGTGATTAAACATACCTAACGGAGTTTTGATAGCGGCTGTTGAGTACTGGTTCTCCTTCACAAGACCGTAAACTTCACACGAGTAAACTGATCCGAACCTTCCACTACCTATCTTCTTCTTTTCTCCCCAAAAAATAAATTCTTTAGATTTTATTTCAAAGTCTTTGAAAACTGGATCCAATGAAGAAAATCGTATTTCTGGGCAAAATGATAAAAAAATACAGTACAAACAAGTTGGATTGTATATGCAAACATTTTGGAATATTTAAACCATGGAAATACATGCTCTTAAGTACACAGTTCTCCCTCTAATCAAAGACCACTCCAATTAAAGACCAACTACAAATTAAGGCCATTTTTCTGTGGTCCTAAATTTTACAAATGTCTTTATCTTTATTATCCTAATTAGAGACGCTAAGACCATGCAAACCTTAGTCCCAAATGTAGCCATTAATTGGAGGGAGACCTGTCTATCAAAAATATGAAATCAACAGTTCTCCCTCTAATCAAAGACCACTCCAATTAAAGACCAACTACAAATTAAGGCCATTTTTCTGTGGTTCTAAATTTTACAAATGTCTTGTAAAAGACCATGCAAACCTTAGTCCCAAATGTAGCCATTAATTGGAGGGGGGAGACCAGTCTATCAAAAATATGAAATCAATAGTCACTGATCAAACTTTCCAAAGGTGAAAAAAAAATCGTTATATTGAAAGGCCCATATGCTGTATGCAGATTTTGTTACAATAAATAGAATAATACAAGACTGAATGAGGAGTATTCAATTCAATTATGCATATACTGAATAATGTACAGTAACAGGTAAGTCTATTCATTTAACATTTACTTGGACAGTTATTCAAAGTGCATATTTAGAGTATAACTCACCTTCCAAAGCTTCTTTTACACCATGCTTTTCCTTCCGTTTGTATAGACAGTACGAGAGTGATGTAAATGATAAAAATAAAAGACCGGGGATTACTGTTAGAACATAAGTCATAACCGAACGAGATTCAGGAATTTCTGTAAATAATATAGAAATATTGAAATTTTAAACTGCCATTTGTAATGTCATATAT